GGGGGGCAGGGGGGAAGGGTGGCTGGGGAGCCAGCATGAGAAGCCAGCAAGCGACACAGCCACAAAAGCCCTTTCTCTCATGGAAAGAAGGGCAAGGAAGGATAGTGCCAGCAAGAGAGATGAAAAGCTGATTATAATGCTGCTGCCTCCCTGTGGCTTCAGTCTGTGATTTCCACACAATCCCAAAGGTTCTGGCAGCCGCATTTTCTTCAGGTATTGCAATGCTAGCCCTGTCCTGCAAAAAGTCGCTAGATGGCCAACATGGGAACCGGGCACCCGGCCAGAGTGGAGCTCAGCTCAGGGACCACGTGCCGTATCAGTCACTAACACCACGGCTGCCAGAGCCTGGCACCATGCCTGCATAGCCCGAGCTATCGCCCTCAGTGCCATGTTACCCAGATCTGGTTCTTCCCAAGTCAGCCTTCTTGCCACCCAGAGCTGTCAAAGCTTTTTCCTTCCTCTTTGCTTAGGAGGAGATTCACAACAGCTCCTAGAGCTACCTTCCCCTCCCCCTTCCTCACTATGTCAGCTGGAAGAGGCCTTTATTTACAGAGGCAATAAGGCTTGTGCTCTATACTGTCCTCTGGGTCTAGAGTCTCTCTGCACCTGAGTGTACAAGGAGCCCTAACAAACAGCTGCACTTGGCTACTCAGCCCTCAAAACACACCTCTGGTGGGCACTGCCTTTCACACTGTGCACCACAGCATCATTTACCCAGGAGCAGCCCGATCAGTCTGACTGCATTACTAGTACCCCACCAAGAGACACTGCGGTCTGCAGTATTCACAACTCAGTGCTGCATTTCCAAATTTTTTGGCAGGTGTAAAGGACATTCGTGTGTCTTTGTGGCAGATATAAACCACCCGGTAACAAAACATAAAAAAAAAAAAAAAAGAAACGCTTGTATAGATTATCATAGCATTAACCGATCCCCTTCATAGCTGTGTCCCGTTAAAGATGTTTTGTTAGACAGCACCGAGAACTTTACACGTGACACCCTCGCAGTGGTCTGTCACTCTGTCCTCTAGCGTTGCTGTAAATGAAAACAGGGAAGGTCAAAGCACTGGCTTCCAAATCCCGGCTACCAAATTGATTACCAAATTCTGGGCTCTGTTGAAGTTATTTTTCCTCTAACGTGTCAGGAGATGCCTCTTGAATGAAGATGACCCAGCCTGGCTATCAAACTTGGGCACTCAAACACACTTAACAGGTAGTACAGGGACATACATCTCCTAAGCAGGCACTGTAATGTGTTGTAGGCCACTCAACAAAACCTCCAAATGCACAAGTACATCTCTTCTGCAGCGCTGTCATTTCCCCTATCTTTTTCTTAAAAAAAAAAAAAAAAAAAAAAAAAAAGGCAAGCAGCTACTGGACATGCAGACATGGGTATCATCCAAGTAAATTTCTTCATTTAACTCAAGTTTTGTTACTAAACATCAGCCTAATTTATTGTATGTTCTTCTGACAGCGAGACAAATACATTTCAATACACACATCAGTTCAAAATGAAACCAAAGCTCGTAATTCAAAGAGAGATTTGTATCGCTGCACATTGTCACTGCTTATTACTTAAGATCAGTTGTTTCAGTCAGGGTATAGCTCTTCCTCATACAAACGACCACCAGCTAGAAGATTTTCATTAGTGCCACTACAAACGCACAACACCGGAAGGAATTAGTGTTTCTTCTTATTCCTCCTCTTTATCTGCCTTAGCAGTAATTAAGTAATAGGCTGCTGCAGAGGGCTTCATACAGTTCCAGATATTACAAGGAAAACAACGATAGTCGCTAGTGCCAGAAGGGAACCCTTTCAAATCAACTGCAACACCTTGTGAGATTAAATAAACTGTGTTGCTTTAGAGAAGCCCAGGGGTTAGCAAACGCGTCGCACTAGTTGTGCCTAAAGAGCTTAATCCCCATCCAGGTCCACAGGTGGAAGAATACATACACCGGTATTGTAACGGGAAGGAGGAGACTGTAGAAACACAAGCTGTTTGCGCTGGTGCAGCCCTGGGGGAAGGTGTCATCTACGCTGGCTGAGTAGAACAAGCCTGCTAGGGACAGGAGGGGAACAAGGACGGTCAGCGTGGGCAGGGAGGGGAGCATGCCTCCGCCGGCCAGCCCTCCCTGCTGCGGCTGCGGGGGGTCCTCAGGGCTCCTTCGAGCCCGCGGCTGGGGGCTGCTTCTGAGTCGTCCTGGCCGCCTCTGGGATCATGTTCGGGATGCCGTCGATGATGGGGTACGCAATGCCCAGCTCCTCGTTAATGAGCTCGTTGGTAGCTTCTTCGTACCTGGCCAGGCAAGTCAGGGAAAAGAAACAAGAGGCGGCGTGAATAACGCGGGTTTGCCCTTCAGCAGCCCCTCTGGCTCGGCTCGGGGCAGCAGCGGGCCCGGGGCGGGCGGCGGGAGCTG